ATGATTTTTGGTCTTTTTCTAGAATAGTTCAAAGTGTCGCAGGACTTTTCGAACAACCTAATAGGTAACTCCTATATGATTGGAAACAACAGTTTCGACAAGACGCCGCTTTCGAGTACGCCACTGGTAGCTAAAACAATTAGACAACCTATTGCCAATGCAGGCTTGATAAGTACGGTTTGCAGAAAGATTACCCATTTATAGCTCGGATCGTCTGGCTAGCGCCGAACCCACTTCCTTCTCTATAGCTCGGCTTCGCCGGGCTGGCCTGCTTCGCCAGGCGCACTTCATAATGGAAACGGAACTTGGTCATTCACTGAGCTGCTCATATTGCGCTGTGTTGATCGAATCGTAATAGATGGAATAACGCAGCGAATTCCGCACTCCTGAGTCCACGGTTATATGAGGGGTGGTGGTTTCGCCAGCCCAGACTATACATAGATCAATAGATATAGATAAAAGGTATAGTCGGGCACTACAGCGCAATAAGAATGGCTCACTAGATGAATTAATTTTGTCTCTAATATCTGCATCGGAAAGCCCACTGATTGACCGGTGAGCGCTCACATTTCAATCACTATGCAATCCACTCGCTGAAGTCGCGTAAATCATTGAAGGTGTTAACACATGGGCTACGCTAGTTGTCCAATTTTTCACACTCCATTATTATTTGTTCCATTAGTAATTAAAAGTTCAGAAAAGAGACACTGAAGTGTGTTACAGTATTCTTCAGGTTTGATTTTCCCTGAGTTTTCTGTAGGGAAACTACATGCCCCCCCCCGCCAGCTCGACATTATTACAGCGGATAATGCATGCATAGTGTTGATGCATAGGCTAGAGTACTTCGTCTGACTACTGCGAATTAATACAATCTATGCCTGCGTGGTAGTCCCTAACATCCTTCCAGTCTGCACCTCCAAAGTCTCTAATCATAGCAATTTGTAGTTCGAGCTTAGCAATACTGATGGGAGCAGATCAGTAAAGTGATTACTGGTGTCTAGCTCTGTGACTATGGAGTGACGATTGCGGAAAATTAAAGGCAGTTGGCACGATGGTTTCCTACTTAGCCTAAAATGCTAGTAGGGCGCTGTATAGTGGGGAAATGGCGAAAGAACGGAGTGAAACGGTCAAAATCCGGCGAAGAAAAAGCCTCCGTTCTCAGTGACTTGTAAATCGATTTCGGACGAGTTTCCCGTACGCATCTTGCCAATCACCGCTACCGAAGATACGGCTGCATATGTGTACCCATATATGCATGCAGCATCACCGCCGCTTCATACCAATCCCTTTGCTTCATAATTTGCTCAGCAAATGAATGAATACGAGCGTCAGAAACGGTCGTCCGTTTGGGGCGGGCAAGGAAGGCGTTTGGGACGTAAAGTTGTTGCTCAATAGGGCGTTATAGAGGTACCCTCCTTGGAAAAGGCTTCACGCAGCGCCTGTCCGAGGTCACGGAATTCTTGAGCCAGTTGTACAAATCTACACCTGTATAGCGATTTATCGGTGCGTGCACTTAGATACCCTGGTGGGCGTGGCCTTCCAGGGTATCTACAAGGCAAGGCTTCGAAATGGACCGGTGTTTCCCAAATTTGTGCCGCAATAGATATTAGACGGGAGCACCGTTTACAAGGTAAACGTTCCTATTGTCTTCAAGGTGTGCTTAATGTTGATTTCATGATCATACGTAAGACCTGATAACCACTTTTTCGCCTCTGCCTAATGTATACCTTTGCAAAAAGCATAAATTCCAATCTAAGTTAATTCTTCCTCTCGGAACTTCTTAGTTCAAGCAGTAGAAACACAGCTGTTTAATAAGAAGGAAATTATCGTCTCCAAGCTCAGGAAGAAGCGCTGAAGCCTAATTATATCCGTCCACGTCAAGCCCTCGCCCTATTTTGGCCACGCCCACCGGGTATCTAAGTCACGTTGCCCGATTTATCGTGCCAACTGCCTTTAAGCAAACGGAAGAACTGCTTCAGGTTGGGCTATGAACTAGCTGAAAAAACCCATGAGAGTGCAGTGAATGAACGAATTCCCTAGAAGTGGAGTTACCTACACAGTATGATCCCAGCTGGCATTAGACGTGTTGGAATCCCCAGGTACAAAAGTTGGACTAAAGACAGTAATAGCTCCAGTAGCGTGAACCCAAGGGCATTACTGGAGGGAGGCCTGTAGACAGCAGAAATCTCATTCTTGAAAGGCTAAGGTAGGTGTCAATAATCAAAACCTTATAAGCTCCAGGGACCGACCCACTGAAGGAAATATCATAGGGTATGACATTTTCAATCGAAATTAGAACACATCCTTCTTTCTAGCACGATCACATCTGACTTAAGTATACTGGGGGAAAACTAAATAAAGTGCATACTCTAACCATTGGAGTTAACCCAGATTTTGAGAGAAAGACCAGATCACAGTTCTCGCGAAGCAAGGGTAATTTGACAGAATTACGATATTCAACGAGAAATCTGACATTACACATATACACTCGTAGCTCAATTCTTAGAGCATCTTGCCTCGTAGTGGCACCAACAGAATCCTCTGATTCAACAGAACATGATGGTTTAGTTGGTTCCCTTATGATGTGTATCTCACTCGAGCTGACCGCTGTTTTCAGTATTGCACTGCCCCCACTTTGTTAACAAGTTATTTTTCAATCAGGTGTGCATACTGAAAATGAAATGAGATCCGCGAAATATTCCGCTTGTGGCTTCATTAGTCACGTAATTTGAACAAATGGATTAGCTTAGGCAGTAGCACTGTTTCGTTTTCCTTAAGGGAAACGGAACAAGTACTTCTGCCTTTTAAGGGAAACGGAACAAATACTGCTGCGCTTTGCTGATCGTAGCTGATGGAAGACGATCTCAATGGGATTCGTTCCATAGCTGACTACGCGTTAGGCCCCCTGGCCTTTGCTTCCTCCGTGTACGCAGTATGCCTGCTCGGCTTCATCCTCTTCTTACGCAATATGCCCTTATCCTGCCGGCGGTGCTCTTCAGTGTTCCATGCGATCGTCCATGGGGCTGGAGTAGAGGCTGCTCCCAGTCGGGGAGCAGGGGATGGACATCGGCCGGCTCATGGCCGGCGCTCGAGCTGCCTCCAGCTTCGGAGTGGACTTCACCCCTCCACCTTCGGCGCTGTCACCGCGTTACCCGGTGAAAACCGACCGGCACCGGCTGCCAGCCGTCGAACGTACTATACTGACCACGACCAGCAGGGGGGGGGGCGGAGCCACGGCGCACGTGCAGCGCATGCCGTGAGTATATACAGTATATACAGAAACTACATGCAATGCAAAGGACCGACAGATAGCCTGTACGATACTATAAAGAGACTACGACATATATAGATAACGATGAGGAAAAGAAAAAAGTGTGAAAATGGAGGTAGAGTGAACGAGAAACACTCGCAAATCAATAGTGCAATTGCGTCTAGCACTCGGGAAGAGTTCTCGTTTGCTTACCTCACACCGTATTCGCCGGCGTTACGCAGGAGCGGTTAACGATTTCCACTGAATAGGTATTTATCTTTTTCGCCGTTTCTCTGGTTTGTCAGGGTCGCAAACAGTGAACAATACCTAGCGTTGGAATGGACGGGTATAAACGCTACGAAATCCTTGAAATGAAGTTTGTCCAGTGCCCTAATGCAACTCATTCCCTCTCTTTGGTCTCCATATTGCAATGGAATCAAAAATACTTACATCGATGTAACTCGAGCCAAGTTTAATACCACAAAAGATCAAGACACTTTCCCAAAATTGTGCATAATTCTCGCAACTCCACTTGTGGAAATCAGCATATGTTTCTGGAAATGTCTTCATAATAGTGCTGAAGTGACCAAAAATAAACATAGTGGATGAGTATTCATACTTTAGGTACTATTTTAAAGGAAATTCACCTAACTTCACCATGAACTTGTCTTCAATAAACCGCCTAAGCTGGAACTCGTACGTATCACTGACAGTTTTCGGCACAAAGAACGCGGAACAGTCATTCGTGGGGTCAATCCTTGGGTTTTTATTTGATGTGACCATTCTGAAATGATCAACAAAATACAAAAAAGGGATTAGTTATCATTTTTTTCAACATGGACAAAGGAACGGGAACAGCGAAAGACAATAACTATCTACGCGCTCCCACGCCAACCAAAGAATGCGCCCCTTCGTGATGATAAGCAATCAATGATTTCACGCAATTCTACTCGACACATCTGATAAGGGTGTGTAAACTCCACAATTTCAACAAAACCTGCTGTTCAAGCTGCTAAGGCGCAAGCATGGCTTGACTTTAAACCTACAATAGAAAATTTGCAGACGAGCTTCCACTCTTTGGAGCGATTATGTGATATCTAATCATTTTTATGTGGCGTGAGAGCAATTTTACTCTAGCTGTCGGTACCCTCTCGCTTTCTCTCACCCGGGTCAATGACCGCTCGTTTATTTAGGAATTACTAGTGACTTACTAGTATGGACGTAGTATTACTGAAGTAAACTACTAGTGGCTTGTGGGAAGACTAAAGAAGGGGTGAAGAGTAAGCTCAGGGTTCTAATCCCCCACATGAAAAAACTTTGCTATCCTATAACTTTTATTTTCTTGAATTCATATATGTCGAAAACTTCTGTATCAACAAAAGCGAGTCCAGAAACACCCAAATCTTTTGTCCAAATAACTGAAGAGCTTTCTATTGCCGGGTTCCTCGTTAAAAATTTTTCCCCTTCTTGGCATTCCCAAAAGCATGCAACGAAAATGAATTACACTTTGTGGACCACACATTGACCTCTACAACATGCCAAACCGTTTCGGAAAGGAGATCTACTACCTGAAAGACCTCTCTTGAAAGTTCGCATTATCGTCCCTGAAAGTTCACATGATTATCCCTCGAGGAATTGTGTTGTATTGGGTAAATAATTCATAATGAATTTGCTCTAGGTAAGCGTTGAAGTATTTTAAATTACTCTGATGATTTACCTACCTCATTTTCGTCAAACTTTACACTGCTCTTAATGTGGAAGTGTATTTATATCTAACCCTACCTTTGTTTTCTATTTAATCTCATTACCTAACGTTTTTCGCGATCTCGCCATACTAGGCAAAATGGGAATATACACTAGTTCGCTGCGGATGAAGGGGCGTGACAGGCCGTATGAGTGAACTTCAGCGCCAAGCGTTCTCTGCCAGTTGTTGAAGCGGGTATGCGGCAACAACTGGTGGAAAACGAGTGATACGAACGATATGATACAGTCCTGTCATTTGCTCGCTTCAGCTACTGATGGCGAATGGGTTTGGAACCGCGACAAGCTCATACCGCCAGACACACCCCTTTGTCCCAGCGATCTAGACTATAAACTCATACATACTCGCTGGTATATCATTTTTAATGTGATGTTCGAATCCATTTTAACTACGCTGGTGCCTCACCTCAAGAACGAGGAGACTTAGAGGAAAAACAGGTTATTTGTCCCATGAGGCTTTAGAGCGGATTTTCGGGACTAGAGCGCACTATCTGTTCAACGTACTTCATTAATGACCCTCTCTGCTGTAAGTTACAACGGAGCATTTGATTGAGCAATCTGTGAGATAGTTCCAAGAGAGCCTGCACTAACGTTGTGTGAGCTGGTCTACTTTTTCATTTTCAATCGCCAATTGCTGTTCGCCGATTTAGGTATTTTGCGTTTACGAACAATTACCGCTAAGTTTCTAAAAATCGTTACTTCATTTACAGTTTCGAACCATGGAGTGGCCCCTATATCACTGTGTCCAGAAAAGTAACTACGCGATTTGAAAAAATAACATAGAGAAAGGACGCCTAGAAGTCATCTCAGTAGTTCTGTTGTGAAAGTAATACTGACGCGTCAGCGTCACCACGCAGTAACAGCAGCATGCAGGCTATTGTATGGTACGATATTTCGGAAGAGATAAGGTCAGGCCACTTTGTACCTTGCGACACTTCAAAACTGGAGAAGCGGAAAATCAAAACCAACGGAAAAGACCAGATAATGCTTTCTTTTCACGACATCCAATGCTAAACCATCCAACAAAAAAACGAAAACTGCGTTTCAGAACTCATTCATGGCAGGAAACAGCCTTTGAGTTTTTGTGAGCGAGGCAAATAGGGACGCATCAGAAAGCCACTTTTGAGGTCATAGCTCCTTCGTTACTCACTGTAAAGCCGCGAATAAGGATTATTCAGAGACTGTGATCCAGACTACTGGACAGAAGATGTCCGCCTACGAGTTAGTTGAGCGCTTGGACTGTCTTCAAAGATGAAAAGTTTCAACACTGAGTTCTATATTGTCTGATAGAGAATTTTCGCTTCATAAGACACTGAGCTCAATTTTTTTTTTCGAAAACTGTATTTCCACTGAGTTTCAAGCACGTAGGAAAGAATGTCCATTTGAAGAAATCGATGGTATTCAGCTGAAAAGCATAAGAGGATCAAAAGTGTATGGCGAAGTAGCGCTGTATCTTAGGAAACAAAACGGTTGAAGCTATTAAAAAAATCCTAGTTTGGACTTTGCAGTCAAGCATCGCCCAGGACACCTTCGATTGCATTAGAAACTCACTGAATCGGCTTATTCACGGATACCACCATGGGAATTCGGTAGACGCGGATTCCGCAGTCGCTCACAAAGAGTGTGCCCCATGTTAGGAACATTTATAAGGTCCCGATGCCCATCTCTTGATCGCTTGAACCGACTTGAAGCCATGCTGAGGAGCATGGCTCCTCGTTCCTCGGTCATAGATTTCAGTTTTGTACTGCTTCTGCACTTTGAAAGTCTAGATTAAGTGCAAAAACTGGTGTATTTCTTTTGACCCGACACTCAATTCCAGTGGACTAAAAATCAACAAAATTCATGGAAGAATAGAAAACAAAGAAAGCACATTGCCTTGTAGCGCAAATCTATGTATCAAAGAGAGTAGAACGTATAAGTAAACAATTTGCTTCTGTAACTAAAAGTAAGAAGAGAAGCCCATCACTTATAGGCCAACCCAATGTGCTGAGCGTAAGAATTTTTGCTTATTGAACGTGGAAGTTGTTCCATGCTGTAAAAAGACGTACCAAGCCGCCACAATTGTGATGGGGTTACCCTTCGTCAGCAAAATAGAGAATCATGGCTACCGTAGAACTGATTTCGCACCATATCATGCTGCAGATGCTCTTGTATTAAAGAGAAGACGGTTCCAACTTTTGGAGCCGCTCTGTTCAACATAGCGCTTGATCAACATGCCTGTGGAGACTCAAAGTATAACCGTTTCCAAGCTTGGGTGTTGGCAAAGTTTGCGATAGAGTTCCCGAACGGTGCCATTGTTTTGCGCGGCCCGATGCGCGCCATTGCGTACGTCGCACACTGTTACAGTAAGCTCGCGTCTGATTTTATTCACCTTCGAGGAAAGATTAGTCGTGACTGATTCGTAAGTAGCGACTATACAGGAAATGATGCAATCATGCAGTAGATTGGTCAAAATAGTTTTTGTCATTTTGGTTCTGAAAATAAAGTTTTTTTTGGAGTTGTCTCGCTGTTGCGAGACCTTGAAAAACCTAATTTATGAAATCACCGCACTGCCGAAGACATTGCGACGCTGCAGGCGACTTGGCTAAAAATGTAGAAGCAAACTGTCCCACAAAAATGTGTTACAGCATAGGATTGTCTCACAGATGTCTCTGATGCAATCACAGCTTGCTTTGTAGCATATCGCAGCAGAAAAGCTACGTTTGAATTATTTCAAACGACTGCGCTCCAGTCCAAAAAGCTTGTACCGGGGACACAGGGGAACTCGTCCGCAAATTTTCCTGTTCTACGACTAGTGAATCACAGCGCCTAGCACTTGACAGCTGTCCTTACCGTCGCTTGAAAGAGTGGGTTTGCTTACCTCATACAAGAGCCACTCCAGAGGTTCAAAATTTTCGTCACAACTCTGGCCTGCAATGAAACTTAATGTAACAGTGAATTGGTTCTGTCGTATCTACTCTAAGTTTAGGTGTAGTACTGTTCTATGTACAGTATTACTTCTGCATGCAACTTCTTGTTCCTAGCTTTTTCCACTGAACTAACAGAATTCATAAAAGCCGATGTTCACACCAAAGACAGTGCAGGAGCTGACTCAAAGGTGCGTTTTATAACAAGTTTTCTCTATTCGCTTTAAAATTCGTTCTTTTTTGAACCATGTTATACATACTACGAAGAGTTTGGTATTGTGTACTGCATCCATTTTTTCAGGGTCTAGCGATTCACAGCGATTTTAATCTTGTTGCCATTGGATATCGCGACACTATAGCAATTCATAACTACAGTCTTAAAACTAATAGTCTAGAAAAAATAGGTAAAGTACTACTTTAAATGTCTTACTGATCTCAAAAACCAGTTGGAAGCCCACATAGTTGAGGTAGGATGGAACACGTTGAAATGTGACACAACTTCCTACAGTTTGATGAAGATTTTCTACTCCTGCGAAAGTAAGCATGGTGGTATCTTCTCAAAGTTCATTAGAAGGTTACTATAGCTGTTTACAGCAATATCGGTCCCCATTTACAGCAAAAGTTATACGTTTTTCCACAACTTCCCAGTGTATTCCTACTGTATTCGTACTATACCAGCTTTTTCTGTAAGCTAATGTAGTGCTTATAGGAATACTTATTACTACAATTCCATTATTGAAACCTATATCCGAAAGTGGATACATCGAGTTCAAATTTCTCACGAATTCAGAGCTATTCTATTGCGATACATCATCTTGCAGGTAACATTATCCATACTTTGCCTCTCTCTCATTATTATTTCTTATGTATTGTTGTAATGTTGCTCCACTGTCAGTCGACCTTTTGAAGCTGAAGTTTGAGGGAAAGCGTAATAACGACAGTGACGGAAGCTGTGAGGAAGACACCATAAATAAGAAATGTTTTCGGTGAGATAAATGGTGGACGTGTTGTGAAGTGCACGTTAGGTGGAGCATTCCCTGCCGGTCAAGTGTGTACAGTCTTGCTCGCATCGATTGGTGATGGGACGTATCAAGAGGAATGGGTTTATCGCGGCGCCAGTCCGTAATTTTCTTTTCTTTTTCCTTTGGTGAGCGACAAGTCGTATTGTTCGCATCAGTTGTTTCCACTTGTTGCTGTCGCTTTACCGTTCCATTAAGTGGTGGTGGAAGGGCTGACAGCGAGTCAACGTATCCGCACTGACACGCCCCATCGTTTACTGCGAACAAGACTGTAGACCAGACCATCCTTGTTTTAGTTCAAATGTGTCCACGGCTTGAGTTGCTCGAGCTAGTGGCGGTAACGAATTACTCGCTAGCGTTTTGGACCGAACGTTAGAGACACGATGTTCGGCTTTGAAAATTCGCGCCGTTCCCGCCATGAAGTGCTCACGCTTATAGTGGACTGATTCAAGTTAATATCATTTCGCGAAAGGGCCCTGAAGTGAGGTCGAAGAGTGGAGGAGGAAGGAGATTTTCAACCCTGGTACGTTTGCTCCGATCCGCTAAGTCCACGAGTTCGTCTAGCGGTCGATGGGATTCACCTTTTGTGCTGGCTATGCACCGTATGCAGAAATTTACGACATCGTAACCACAATACGTCCCTCCTTATCTATATCCTGTTGCTCGAGCTAGTAGTAGAAGAAAGTCGAGGTCGTATTAGTCTTATGGCTCGTTTTTAAGTTATTTACTCTTGAAAAGCCCTCAGTTGAGATCTCCTCCTCCTGCGAACACGCACACTCGCACGACGTCGTGGGTGTGAGGGAGTCTTATTTACAGGAATCAGTGACAGTTTTTTTCTGCAATTTTTTCTCAGCTGTGTCAATTACCGCCTTGAGGTCCATAATGTGTGCGATATCGCTCATCTTGCCGTTCCTCGTGCCCCTGAGAGAACACCAAGGCGCGCTAAATCATAGCTTAAGCCCATGGGGCCATCTAGCCCAGGTTGCAGGTGTCGCCGTGGTACTGCCACACCCTTCATCTTGTCTCGGATGTTTTCGTTG